GGCGTTGAAAGACGTTAGTAATTGTGGTGTAATACACGATAAAAAACTGATAATATGACACAAAAATGATGTCTCTATATGATTTATATGTTAAGAAATTAAATATTTTACTTACACACTGTATGGCTAGCAGCTATCTGCTAAATGTCCTCTTCTCGCTTCGTTTATTTTAAACCAACGTAGGTAGTGGGTAGGACTTGAAGGATATGGGTTATTGCAGTGTAATACAGGATAAAAAGCTGATGACATGACAGAAAAATGTTGTCTGTACATGCTTTGTACATTAATAATTTAAATATTTAATGAACATACTGTATGGTGGCTAGCTGCAGCCGTCGCTGAATGTTCTCTTCTTAATTAATTTATTGTAAACCAACGTAGGTAGTGGGTAGGACTTGAAGAATATGGAATACTTCATTGTAATACACAATATAAAACTGATATCACACAAACATAAAATCTACTTGCTTTGTATGTTAGGAAATTAAATACACTGTATTTGACTTAAATCCATCGAGTCGGCTTATATTATTCACTACTCTTGTATAAAATCAACTTGTGCAAGCTCAAGTCCACTAATAACATAAAATCACACCAAACTCTTTAACAAAGGGGCTCTCAAACATTACCAATGATAAATATGTATACAGTACATAAAGTATGGTAAATTAATAGATGCAGAGCTATTTTGAACTTTTACTTGGTGGGCATTTTCTACCAGTTTCAGCCCGTTTTGTCAATGTTGAAAACTTGTTTGGCTGTATAGCCTCGCTGCTGTATCCTGTCCTTCAGCGCATCAAAAAACGTGCTTACAGCTTCCTGGTTGGCATTTGCAGCTTCCCTAGCTAACCTTATGTTATGCAGGTTAGCACATTACCTGAACCTGTCAACCATCCACGGCTGGCAGTGAGGTCAGGAGTATTGAAAGAGGAGGTGGCTTCCTCCCTCAAGAAAGCCACAGAGTCCTGGCCTTCTTCTGGATCAGGGCCTGGCTTAAGGGACAGATCCTCTAATGGTTGTCGTCAATCCAGGTGACCAACAACCACTCCATTTTCTCCATCTTGGGATCACGCTCTTGAGGAGGGAGGCACACACACCAGCAGCTGCCTCGTACTTGACCTTGTCCTTTGGGATGGTAGAGACGGTCCAGGGTGGCAAGTTATAGTCTCTATCAAACTTTGCTGGTCCATCACCTCTCTTAATATGCCTTATTATGTCAAGCTTGATGTTCACGTGCACAGACTTATGCACCCTCTTAGTGGCAGCAATAGAAGCACTTTCACTGGGGTATTTAGGCATGAATGTGTAACACACAAAGTTGGAAATAAAAAACCCCCCACAAAGTTGGAGACAATGAGGTACACTGGAGGGGCGGAATAGACTTCCTAAAGGTGGGAAAACGGCTGCTAGAGCGCACAGAGCCCTCTCACAGCAAGAATTCGCATTGCGCCACCGACTGCGAAATTCAAAAACACCTCTGCCGTAAATGTTAGTTTTGTGAATCGGCAGTCAATGGGACATCGGTTTTCGGGGTACATCTGTAGTTGGGGACTTGAAAAGGTTTGAGTGAAGCTGCCTTGGAGAGTTAATTACAGGTGGTCATTATGATACCAAGTGAATGACAGGAGCTCATTATGATAACAATTGACTGACAGGTGCTTATTATACCAGGTGACTGACAGGAGCTCATTGTGATACTAATTGACTGACAGGTGCTCATTATGATATGGCTGTCAGGTGCTCATTATGATATGGCTGTCAGGTGCTCATTATGATACCAGGTGGCTGACAGGTGCTCAATATGATGCCTAGTTACTCACAGGTGCTATGCAATGGAAAACACACAGCCCATGCTATGTTTTTTAGTTCAGCCTCATTAGTCAAGATGGCCATTGGGGTTCCATAACAATTGTTTGGTTGATTTACCACAGGAGCTTTATTGTCCCAAATCATCAATGTTACAAATCCTTGGATAAGTAAATGTTTCTACCTTTAGCATAACATAAGAGATTTTCCATATATGACTTCTGGGAAATGTAGAGGTTTTAAAACTCCTCTCCTGTGATGACATTGGAAACTACTGCTGGTACTCAGTGACTGACCTGCCAGAGAGTGCTGTGGTGGCACCGAGTGTGAGCTCATTCAAGACCAGACTTGACCAACACTGGCACAGGTGCAGATACATTCTGGAACCAGCACATGTCAATAGTGCGTAACAGAAATGTTACTGACTGCCCAAGTGGCTAATGAGCGAATCAGTGGCAAAGAGGGTGAAGTTACATAAAAGTTCAGTGTGTTTCCCTGGATAGTAGAATTTATAGGAACACTGTATATTAAAACCATGCTGGTTTTTGATAACTTCAGATTAGATATATCCAAATTATCAAGATTAAACTATACAAGTGCTTGCAGGCTCATTTACTAAATATAGTGGTCCCTCGGTTAATGAACACAATTTGTTCCAGAAGGTTGTTCGTTAACCGAAAATTTCCTAAACCGAAACCATTGTTTCAATGGGATTTTGGGTAATTGGTTCCAGCTCACCGAAAATTACATACAAAGTAAAAATAAATGTAGTAAAGTACACTTACTTTGAGGTGTGTATGTAGAAGGCTCCTGGTTGATGATGATGGGAATTAGAAGTGGGGGTGGAGGAGAAGGGAGAAGAGAAGGAAGTGGGGGGCGGAAGAGAAATCACCCCGTGCTTCATGCCGTCATTTCACCCATAAAATTTTAAGTTCACTAGGTGTAATTCAAGATTATTTTCTTTAAATCAACACTGCGCTGCACTATATATTGTCAATATGTAAAATAAGTTTCAGAATGACCAATAATTGTACTGTAAAAACGTAAAAATAGTTTGTTCAAGAGAGTCTCAAGCAAGATGTTATCTCTACTGGCCAGAGATACAAACTGACGCCTGTTTGGTGAGTTGAGTGGCTGTTTGGCACACTAAAAACTAGTTTCCTGTACTTCAATTATGTTAAATAATTGTTAAAATGACTAAATATTTTAATATAAAACTTGGAAAATTATTGAATAGTACAACCTTCTTGATATTTGCTCAAATGGGAACGAATTTAATCCCTAAAACCGATTTATGTATTGGCGGACTAATATTCCCGCTGGTGAGCAAGCAAAAACATGTTGAGAGGAATTCGTTAACCAAATTGAATATTCTTATGGAATGTAATTCGTTAACCGAGGGACCACTGCACTGTGCAACCTCGTATAACGACGTCCCGATTAACGTTGTTTCGATACGTTGCCAAACTTTAGAGACCAAAAATTCGTTTAACGTCCCCGGGATCTGATACTATGTCGTTTTGCGTCGTCACAGACTACTTTCTACGGCACATCACCCGCTCTTGTCTGGCCGCGCTACGCTCTCTCGTCTCAGTGCGCTGCCCTCGTGTGTGCTTCAGTGCTTTTGCTCTAAAACTGTACTATAACCATTTAAAATGGCTTCCAAGAGCCCATCAAGTGCTACTGATGCTAGTGAAGAGGCAACGTAAGACCATTACCCTGGCTACGAAAATGGATTTATTGACCCGATTTGAAAAAAGGGAATGTGCTGTGGACATAGCCGCTGTGCTTGGTCTAACCCCCACAACAGTGCGTACTATCTGGACCAACGCTGACAAGATTAAGGCTAGTGCTGGAAGTGGTACTACTCTCATTGCAACTAAAATAACTCGTACTAGAAGTACTGTGATAGAAAAAGTGGAAAAGATGCTGTCCATGTGGCTGGAGGACAACAATCAACGCAATGCGCCTGTGAGCCTTATGGTTATTGAGCATAAGACCAGATCCTTGTTTGACTACGTAAAGGAAAAAGAGGGTGAAGCTTCGAAGGAAGAGACCTTTACGGCCAGTCGAGGCTGGTTTCAACGATTTAGGCGCAGGTATAACTTCAACAACATTAAGATGACTGGTGAAGCTGCCAGTTCAGATAGGGTTGCTGCTGAGACATTCCCGCCAGAATTCAAATGGATTATCCAGGAAGGAGGATGCTGTATTTACTTTTTTTTTTTATAGAAATGCAATGATTTTGTGTATATTTAATGTTTTTCATGGGGCAAAGGGAGGCTCAGGAACATAACTCCAGTATTTTATCTATTTCTTATGGGGAAAATTGATCTGCTTAACGTTGTTTCGTATAACGTCACGTTTTTAGGAATGTAACCCTGACGTTAAGCAAGAACTTACTGTATTGAAACTTCTAAATCTCCCAGCAGAACAGTGTCATATGCAAATTCCTACTGACTCACTTCCCATTTTCTTTCTTTATCATTATTCAGGAAACTCCCACATCTCTCCTTCATTTTTTCTGTCATTTCTCTTGCTACCCATTCCATGAAAATAATATGTAACCATGGTGCCAATACACATTTGTAGCAGTCTTACTTTCACAAGGAACCATTTTCCCCCTCATCCCGACAGGTTCTAACACATGCCACTTTCTCGATACCAAAATTGGATAGCATTCCAACGAATTTCTTGATCTAGAAAAGGTAAATTGTTAAAGGCTGTTCATGGTTTATATAGGGAGAATGAAGTATGTGACGGCCTTTAGGGAAGTGAAAACTGATTGCCATTGAAAGTAGGATTATGTCAAGAATGTGTTATGTCACTGTTTTTTTATATTTTCATTGAATAGTAAGAGCAAAGAAAGCAAGAGAAACGGAGAGGTGCAAGCTTTGTGGATAGTTGTAGGGGATGCAAATGGGGTTATCAGCTGCTGGTTGTAGTTGGCATAGCTCTGGTGGATGATTGAAAGGAAAAGTGACAAATGTTATTGAGTTTAGCAAGATGTGACAGTAGGAGGGAGAGAGAGAGAGCGAGCTTGATGATGCAGATATTGTTTCATATTTTACAATATCAACCTTGGCTTGAAACCATTCTGCTGCATATTATATTAATTTTTGTGTGTCATGGATGTAGCTGATTTAATAGCTGGTATAATTTTGTTTTACCGAAAATGTTTAATCTTATTACAGGTCACAGAGTGTAGTGTCAGAAGGAGATGTTGTGCACATTCTCTTCACACATCCTGTTGATGGCCATTTTTCCATTGATAATAAGAAGGTACAGTGTGCTTTGTTTTCTTGTTGTTGTTTTTTATCATGTTTATTTCATGCTCTCTGTTCTTCACAATAATTTAGAGTGAAGACTGGCTGGACCATGAGTTGTGACTCCTGTACCGTTTTGATGCACTGTACAGTACAGGGAGTCACCAGGTTACAAATGAGTTATGTTCTTGGACCCTGCTCGTAAGTTGATCTGCTTACAAGTCAGAAGAGTGTTAATTCCTTAGGTTAGGTTAAAACACAACCCTGCCCATACAAAACAAAAATAATATCGCATACATAACAAATAATGTAAATATCTCTAAATACTGTGCATAAAGTGATGTTAAACAATGTAAAATTAAAAGGTGCAGACTTGGGGCCAAATTGAAGAACATGGCCGCACTATCACTTAGACACACAATTTTTGTTTTCTCGTCTAGAATTCAAACCTTTTCCTCCTTTGTCAGGTATGTCCCAACCATCTTGGTGCACTACATACAGAAATACATGGCAAGTAGTAAATACTTAAAATTAGGGGACTGAGTTGTGGATTTACACATTGTAATACACTCCCACTTGTTCAGGGTACAATGAGGCTGCCATCTGCTGCCTTTTCCCTTATTTACACCACTCTGCGTCTTGCCAATGTTTTTGCGACATGTCATTGAGTGCAAAAACATGACCCTGTTGCAAGGTTTTTTGTGGACACTGCATCATTGTAAACCCTCAGCCACCAAGACACACACTCTCCACTGTGTCTTTTGTATTGTAAATAATGTATCATGATTATCTAATACATGATCTAACCTATTATGTCAAATAATGTAAAACTTGATTGGGTAAATTGTTTCATGAATTTATTAAACAAAGCAATGATATCCTTTCCCAGTCAGTATTTATTGACAAATGGAAGTATCAAAGCTTGATTGTTGAATTGCTTGGGTGTTAATTTGTGTGTTGGGAGCAATGGCCAGAGAGCATCATGCTGCCAGTAAGGGTAGAATGGACTTTGCACCCTCCATCTTGAGTGTATCACAAATTTCTGTCTGGGTCTGTACACCAGTGAAGAGAGACATAAATGGTTCCAACTAATCCAAACACTGCCAGGTAAGCTGATTGAAATCTTGGCCTCAATGTCAGCTTGAAAATCTGCCACTTCGAGAGCAAAAGAGCCACACTTTGTTGCATTACTCTTTCATGGGAACTGTACAAAATAAAAAGACTTTTGTGAGCAGCTGAGGGAATGTCATGAAAGTTTGCTGAAAGGTTCTATGAATAATCCAGATAGTCTTGTTTTTCTGTAAGATTTAATGTGTCATTAATATCCAAGTCTGTTATGGCTGTGAATTCAAAGTACAGTTAGATCTTGCAAATTCATGCTAATTTGTATCCCACCATGGCCAAATTTTCAAAAGGCATGGATTTGCAGAATAAGTATTAAGATCATAGTAAAATTTGCTAATCATTTGATGAAAACTAAATATAATTGTGCAGCATGAATCTTTGTTTGAAACTTGTACCCCACTGCCATATTGGACAGATCTTAAAACTATATAAACAATGTGGTTCTAAGTTAAAAAATTTAGTGAACTCAAGGATAGCCTAATTTGAAGAAATTTCAAATTTTTATATCTCAAAAATGAAAAAAAATTTCATTATAAATAAAATTGATACATAGCTTATCATGAAATACAATGGTACTTATTTTATGTACACAAAATAGCTCCTTCCACACTCAAACCATCCTCTGGCAATGTGTGACAGTTCCGCCAGGCAGTCAACCAGCTGATTCAAAGATATTTGTGACTGCAGTCTTGTTGCACTGTGTGTGTGCCATGTCACATCAGGGGAGTCAGGGAGCACGGCTGGGCTCATGATGCAGTTACAGCCCACTACCTCCACATATATGTTCACTTCATGTTCACTTCACACATACACACCCATGCTTTTCATTTTTCTTATTTTATAGTTTTAAATTATATTTTCTTTTATTTATTTGCCACTATAGAGTACAGTATTGTTATGATTTTTTTCACAACTTTTATAGTTTCACTGCATGTAACAATGGCGTGGACAAGCGATAAACAAAGTAATTGGGGAACACCCATGAAAAGGTATGGATTTGTGGAGAAACCGCTTTCTGAGACGAATTTGCGAGCACAGTCTGTAATGAGGAAAATTGCCAGTTTCAGCTTGGCCTCAAAGTATTTGCAGTTTGCTGACAAGAACCTTTATAGCATACTGAATGTTAAACACCCAGCCTTAATGGAAGTGGAGGAGCTACAGTAATGTCAGATGTAATGGTCATATATTTGTGTATAGGAAAGAAAAATCATAAAATTTATGTTATGAGAACTGTAGTTCTCTTGCTCTTTATGGCCTTTTAGTGAGGTGAGAAATCTCCTTTAGTTTGCAGTTCAGAAGTGTAGGAGGTCTGGACAATACCTTTTCCTTTGGAACAGTGCCTATTACTGTAGAATGGCTGTGACTTGTGCAAAGACACTTAAGAACATAAGAAAATAAGGAGTCTGCAATAGGCCGGTTGGCCTGTGCATGGCAGCTCCTGTCGAGAGTTACTACCACTCTCTCATCCATGAATCTATCTAGCCTCCTTTTAAAACTTTCCAGCATTTCAGCACTTTCTACAAAGTTACTAAGCTTGTTCCACTCGTCCACCACCCTATTTGTGAACCAGTTCCTTCCTATCTCCCTCCTAAACCTAAACTTATCCAACTTTAATCCGTTGCTACGAGTCCTATCCTGCTCGGATATTATAAGAACTTTATCTATATCGCCTGTATTCATTCCTTTCACCCACTTAAATACTTCTATCATATCTCACCGCACTCTTCGTCTTTCTAGGGAATGCAAGTTTAGTTTCTTTAACCTATCTTGATATGGAAGGTTTCTAAGTCCCGGAATAATTTTCGTCATTCTTCGCTACACCGACTCCAGTGAATTGATATCCATTCTATAATAAGGGCACCAGAACTGAACCGCATAATCGAGGTGCGGCTTGACTAGTGCAAGATATACAGTAGTTGCAATAAGATCTCTGCACTCTTATTACTTACACTTCTAGATATAAAAGCTAATACTCTGTTTGCCTTGTTTCAAGCATTAACACACTGTTTTCTAGGCCGTAGGTCTGGGCTTACAGTACCCCTAAGTCTCTTTCACAAGTCGACTTCTCTAGGTTGATGTTGTTTAGGCTGTATACATTGACAGTATCTGTTCTTCCAATATTCAGTACGCTGCACTTGCTGGTGTAGAATTTCATTTGCCATTTTTCTGACCATTCCTGCAGTTTATTTAAATCCTCCTGTAGTGCATTTGCATCCTGCCTTGTATTAATCTGCCGCCCTATTTTGGTGTCATCCGCAAACTTGCTTATGTCACTGCTGATCCCAGTATCTAGATCGTGTATGTAGATTATGAACAAGAGTGGGCCCAGTACTGACTCCTGGGGATCCCCACTGGTTACACAACCCCACTCAGATTTAACACCATCTACGCTGACCCTCTGTGTTCTATCGGTGAGCCATGATTTTATACAATTCAAAACTTTCCCCTCGATACCATGAGCCTTAACTTTTCTCAGTACTCTGTCAAACCCTTTGCTAAAGTCTAAGTAAATAACATCGTAATTTTCGTCATTATCTACTACCTCGAAGACTTTCCTAAAAAACGTCAGCAGACTTGTTAAACAAGGTTTTCCCTTTGTAAACCCATGTCGAGAGTCGTAAATTAATTTGCTTTTCTCTAAATGCGATCGGATGCTATTTGCTATAATTGATTCAAGAAATTTCCCCAATACTGATCAAACTAATCGGCCGGTAATTTGACGCTGATGCTCTGTCTCCCTTTTTGAATATGGGTACTACATTTGCCTGTTTTCACAAGTCTGGCACAACTCCCGTGTCTAATGATTTTGTAAATAAATTTACGAGAGGTCCGCTAATCTGTTCCTTACACTCTTTCAAAACTCGAGGGAAAATTTCATCCGGCTCTGGGGATTTTGTCTTTAATTTATTTATCTTCTTAAGAACATCCTCTTTTCTGATAGTGATATTCTTTAATTTCTCTTCTTCATTTCCCCTAAATATCAGTTCCACATCTGGAATTTCCTCATGAATTTCTTCTGTGAAAACTCATAAAAAGTAGCTGTTTAATGCTTTGCTTATTTCCTCACTGTCATCAATCACTTGTGACTCCAACGACCCCATGAAGTTTCTCTGACCCCTAAGTACATTACTGTACAACTAATATGCTGTACTGAAGTAACTTTTATTAAGCTGTATAAAAACATTATATGGTACATTGTATAGGTATCACTAGCGTAGCTAGGGGGGGGGGGCGGTCCGCCCCGGGCGGCACTTTTGGGTCTGCTCATCACCCATATCTGCAGCTACTGGAGACGTTAATCCATCCCTTTGTATCGGCGGCAAGTTAATCCTTGTCGTGTCTGACCTAACACCTGACCCACATCATCACGGCCACGTCATGAGCTACACCCTTGCTATGCTCCCCCCGCCACACACACAACCTGTAACCTGTTGAGGATTAAGGAAACAACTTCAAACAAGTACGCCAGTGAGCTCATGTGGTGTGGGTCAGGTGTTAGGTCAGACACGACGAGGATTAACTTGCCGCCGATACAAAGGGAAGGATTAACGTCTCCAGTAGCTGCAAAACCATGCAGTCTCGGGTCATATCAGTTCATGTACAGCCGACCAATCCACCAGTTACAAGCAATTCACTTCAGTTCTGCACAAGTCTCCATCGTGACAAGACGAGGGGAGGCTAGACGACTTTTAAGTTCTCTTGTGTTTTCGATCCAGTTATTTACTTCGTTGGAAGACATAATACTATAAGGTAAGAAATATTAAAGTATTGGTTAAAAAATATTGATGTGACTTTTGCTGCGGTACTGAGATTAAATATTAAGATTTTGTTTCACAGCATTGCGATTTTATACTAAGACACTATCCTCACTGGGGTACAGACAAAAGCCCC